TCTCTAGATTGTTAGCCCCACTCCTGTTTACCTCAAAACCTTTAACCCATCCACTGACTTTAGTTGTTTTGATCATGTTGTTCAATCCTTCCATGGCTATGATGAATAGAAAGGGAGATAACGGATCACCTTGTCTGAGACCTCTGTGTGAGTGAAAATAACCTTTAGGACTTCCATTTATAAGAATGGAGAATTTCACAGTAGATATGCAAAATTTCATCCATCTAATCCATTTTTGCCCAAAACCCATTTGTTCTAACATTCTTAGTAGGAAGCTCCAGTTCACATGATCATAGGCCTTCTCGATATCCAATTTGCATAAGATTCCAGGTTCTTTCTTTTTTATTCTTGAATCCACAGCTTCATTGGCAATCATCACTGCATCAATTATTTGTCTTCCTTTGATGAACGCCATTTGTTGAGCATCAACAAGTTTCCCAACCACCCTCTTAAGTCTTTCAGTTAAGACTTTTGAGAGCAGTTTGTAGAAGCTCCCTATCAGACTGATCGGTCTGAAATCTCTCAATTCTTTCGCACCTGTCCTCTTTGGAATCAATGCTATATATGTTGCATTGAAGCTTTTCTCAAACATCTCCTGTGAATGGAAGTTGTTAAAAGCCGCCATGATATCTTCCTTCAAAATGTCCCAACACTTTCTGAAAAAACCCATTGTGTATCCATCTGGACCTGGAGCCTTGTCACTTGCACACATCTTCAAACTGCTCAGCACTTCTTGTTCCTCAAAGTTACTCTGTAAAGACTCCCTTTCCGATTCAGAAATGCTTGGACTATTTTCGAAATTGACTGTTGGTCTCCACTGTTCAGGTTCTGTGTATAGCTCCTTGTAGAATTCAATAATCTCGTTCTCTATTCTTTCTGGATCCTCGATTACTTCATGTCGAATCATTATTTGGTCAATGTTGTTGTTTCTCTTGCGTGCATTTGCAGTCCGATGGAAAAATTTTGTATTCCTATCCCCTTCTTTGAGCCACAAAGCTCTTGATTTTTGTCTCCATGCAAATTCTTCATTCTTGAGTTGCACCTCAATCTCCATTAGAGTGGCTGCTTTCCTGACTGATTCCTCCTCTGTCAACGCTCTTAGTTGTTGCGTTGTCTCAAAATCTGCTAGTTGACTTAGCAATTTTGATTTCTGCAGTCCCAAATTGCCTTCGTAACTTCTGCTCCAACCTTTTAGCTTGCCCTTGAGAGCTTTTAACTTGCAAGCTAAAATGTAATCAGGTCTTCCTGAGAATTCAAAAGATCCCCACCACTCTCTAATTCTGTCCTCAAAACCTTCCACATTCAGCCACCAATTTTCAAACTTAAAGTATGATTTAGCTTGTTCCCACGCACCGCAGTCTAGAGCCACAGGTGAATGGTCCGAAATCAGCCTTTGTTGGATAGTTTGCTTGATGTTTCTGAACCTTACATCCCATTCTTCTGAAATGAGAAATCTATCAATTCTTGAAGCCGCTGTATGATTGTCCCCTTTGAACCAAGTATAGTTTCCTCCTTCAAGTCGAAGATCTATCAGCTCCATATCTTCTATAAAATCCGAAAACTCCACCATCGCTCTGGACCTCCTTGAGCATTCCCGTTTTTCAGAAGGGTACCTTGTAACGTTAAAATCGCCACAAACCGCCCAAGGACCTTCCATCAATCCCCTCACTGCACCAATTTCATTCCATACTTTTTTCCTTTCTATTCTACAATTTGGAGCATACACTCCTGTTATGTGACATTGAAAATTCTGTAGAAGAGCGTCAAACTTGCACGTCAAAGTGTATGCACCAGTCTGTAACACCTCCCCTTTCCATACTCTGCAATCCCATAACATCAAAATCCCCCCTCTCGTGCCGCTAGCTTCTAAACTTGCATACCTAACCCATCTACCACCCCATATTTGCCTGACTATTTCCTCGATATCCCCCTCGACTTTTGTTTCTTGCATGCAAATAATGTCTGCCCTCCAATTCTGCACTTGACTTTTTATTATCTCCCTTTTCTTCTTATCATTTAGACCCCTTACATTCCAGGAAATTACTTTGATCCTCATATAGAAATAATTGATAGATCTCTTCCCCTACTCCTTTTCCCGTCACTCTTGAATTTGACATCGAAAGAAGTCAAACCTTTTAATTCCAGTGATCCTTTGAATCTTTGTTTCTTCACCTCCAACTCTGTCTCCACCCTTCTAACCTGTCTGCAGCTGTCAATTTGCATTAACAATTCCAGTGCTTCTTCTTCATGTCCTTGGAAATCTACTCCAAACATTTTCCCCAATTTGATCATATTTTGATGGACCCATATTGTTGCATCCATGTCTTTATCCAATAATGGATTGTGTTGCTGAACTGCTAAAGGATTCACCTCCTCAATTTCCCACTCTTGAATAGGGCTAAATTGCTTTAGATGTTCCAAAGTACTTCCCACGTGATCATTCCCCATCTTTGAGTTTATGCTTTGCTCCCCTTCCTTCTGTTCCAATCTTGCTAAATCTACTCCACCTTCTGGCTGACTGCAACTGGTAATTGTTTCCTTTTGCATACTTTCACGATTCACATTAAGGGTTTGATCCCCGGGAGGTGACTCTTTTGCCCCCGATTGAGAATGGCCTCCCATTTCCTCGATATAAGGCTTCAGCCCAGTATCATCAGAGATCTCACACGAGAGGTCATTAAAAATGACTTGTGCAGCCATATCGGGGCCATAGGATTTCAGCTTGACTTTTGACACTTTACTGCTTTGATTCATCGAAGTTGAACCTTGTGTAAATTGTCCACTTGCTTTTCCTTTACCAGTGTTTAGCTCATACCGTGTGTTTCTTTCAGCCCAGATTGGGATGAAGAATTTGGTACCATCTTTTTCAATCCCCACCTCATTGGGAGTCTTTCTGCCATCACCAACAATTTTGATTCTCGCCCACTTAAGATGGTTTTTGAGATCAGTTTCTTCTTCTGTAGCTAACCAACCCCCACAGAGATCTCCTATTTCTTTGAAGATCTTTTGTGACCATAGATGTAAAGGAATCCCCATGGCTCTAATCCAGCATGTTTCCTCAATTTGTGAGTTTGGAATGCAACCGGCTGTATGATTCCACCAATCCAGATGAAGCTTGAATTTTTTCCATCTCCATTCTCCTTGCACAATCTGCTCTGCCATGAATCTGTTTGGAAATTCAAAAAGAAACATGTTTCCTGTCATTTCATATATGTTTACTCCGTATGCTTTGTTCCATGAAGCACTAGCCCATCGCCTTATATCTGCTAAAGTGGGTCTCTCATTGATTTCTTTCCCTAAAGACCCGATAATGCATCTTTTTAGTAGGCATGTGTCCTCTCCTCCAGTAGGTTCCAAAACAGTGATATCGCCATTGTTCGTGCTGACCCTTGCCTCTCGAAGAGTATTGGATTGCCATTTACTCTCCTTAACTGCTTGGGCATAAGGGAAATTTTCCACAGTATTTCTGGGTGGTACTATGGGATTCAACTTGGTGGATATGAATCTCTCTATCTTAGCTGCTATGTCTTTCCAGCCAGAATTCAAAGTTAACTCTGGGATTATAATCACTGACCTCCCTTCTCTCTTCAGTGACAGAATACTCATATATCTTCCATGGGCGTTAAATTTCCTAGTACAGAAATATTCTGTCATTTGCTCCTTGTACTTCCATCTCTTCACTCGGTTGTTTTGATCTGTCGACGCTTCTTTAAGTGCAAAGCATATCCATTCCATTGCCTTTCTACCCATGGATGATCTTCTCATCATGTTGCGGCTTCTCTCCACCCATTCAAACCAAGTGTCTTTGTTGGAGTTCCATCTGGTGATGTCAAAAGATTTGAATCCTGCGTTGAAGTATATCCTGTTGTCTCCCATATTGTACAAATCAGCTGCTCAGGTTATGGAATTTTAGGGGTTGTTTGGAAGTTATCACAGTGAGCTAGAAAGCTTGAAAAAAAGAACAGAAACCAGAATTCTGGACAGAGAAAGATTCCCCGCCACCGGAAAAAATAAAAGTTGTCGGAATTCAGAAAAAATTGTATGGATGTGCTCGGAATTTCCCAGCGAGCGTGCTGTCCAAAACGAAAATTTTGAAAAGTGGCCGGGATTGAGCTCACGCGCCGGCGCGTGGTGTTTGGCTCGCCGGAAAGTGCCGCGCGTGGCGGCGCGTGAGAGACTGTTTGTCGGAACTGTTTTCAGAGGGTTGGTCGGAATTGAATAAACATGCTCATGGTGTTTATGGATCCTCAAGATTCCTTGTTCTCAGACTCCTCGGGGAGTGTGCCTGAGAGCTCAAGAAAATAGAGAGACAGCTTTTAAGTTTTTATATTACCAGGTAATTTTGTCGATAAGAGATAGCAGACATCCCGTGAAATTAGTTGAGATACGCACAAGCTAGCGCGGATACCAGAAACTTGTGATTTTGAACAGCTTAACAAACGGAATATCTCATTGTTGTTGCAATTGTATGGAATATTTAACCCATGGAAGCTATGGAACAATTAATCATAACCAACTATTACTGCATCAAAAACAATAACAACGCGAAAAAAGAACAAATCTAAACCATATTGCATAAATCCCATTCGGCTTCTGAAAAATAAGGTAGCTGCCGATACCAAGTAATCTATTGAAGTTGATCAACTCAATCGATCAACAGATGCATGACATTTAAATATATACTTGGAGAGACATATTTGGGGCATGACTTAGTGCACCTGCTTGACGATACAAGTTTACAACCAAAGACAGAAAACTCTCACTTTGGTCCAGCAAATTTGTTCATCATCTTTGCAATAATAGGAGCAACTTTGGGATTTGCTTGATGCTTGGCCAGATTAGCGGGGTTCTTCCTCCCTCCTTCCCAATTTATGTGAAGGTGTTTGATTGGATACGAAGTTTAAGAAATACATAAAGACTTTTGAACCTTGTGGTTTACTACAAATCATAGAAACTTGTGTGGAAAGAAATCCGCTCATTAAGGGTTAAAGGAAAATCTAAAGTTTCTTTTTGATAAGGTAGGAAATTTAAAGTTGGATTGTTACCAAATATAGAAGAAATCATTCTTTTTGGGACTGATAAAAAAGGAAAGTATGTAACACAAATTGGAACGGAGGGAGTAGTTATTTTGATTATCTTCGTAATTAACTCTCATATCCATTTATGGTTACTTTCTTAATTAGTTATCCTTTTGTATAGGAGCTACACGATAGATCATGCAGCCTAGAAGACTTTTATTAGACCTATCCTTTGATTATCCAGAAACTAGTTTCTAATTCAAGTGCTACCAACTGGCATTAATATATGATTGACATCAAATACATTGCATCCTCCTCTGATGCATGGTAGCGACACAGGAAATTCTCATTGCTAAATCTAATAATTATCCATTGATGTCCAATTGAACAAAAGAGTTCAACGTGGGTAAGCCGAAAAAAGAGTCTGAATAGACTCTCCTAAATGGAGAAGTATAAGAAAATCCTCCATCATACCTTGGAAGAAACGAAAGATGCACAAGATAAAAAGTTGCAGAACATAACAATTAAACAGAACCATATAGAGCAACAATTCCTATGCATAAGGTATACAACTCCTTTATAAAATTCTTTCATAGTAAGTAGGAGAACAGGGATCCTGAGAATGGAAATACGGATCCAAGGTATTATATAGTTTATATAATTTAAAGTACAGTGCATGCTCCGATGGCAGAAGCTTCGCTTTTAAAAAAGTATAAGTAATTTTGAAATACTTCAAAATAAGAGGTGCTTAATTGGGAGGTAACACAGTAATATATACTATATAGAAGGTCAGTCAATCACACCAAACTAATAGGATGACATTCTTTGCACTTTAAGGCTTTGGGACATTAATTACAAAACCATGATTATGGATCGTGCACAATTGATAATCTTCTTTTATATATACAGGCACGCACACATACACATTATCTAAGAAATCCAAATACTAGAATAAAGAAAATGAATGGATTATGATCAAAGGAAATTACCATCTTGTAGCGCAGCCATGACTTCTGGGTCCTGGAATGCAGCCATTAGTTCAGGGTCCTGCTCAAGTAAAAAACATAAAGATTGTTTTAACTTAATTGATACAAAAAGAAAATGTAACTAGATGACTCCTTAGTTTACATAGTAACGAAAAAACTTTCTGATAACAATCCTCAGCACACTAACTCTACACTTTATTCATCATAATTAATTGGTATAAGCATCACAAGTGAATATATATAAGTACAGCTACTTACATTCAATATTTTGCTGTAGTCAATATTACCGGGCATTCCTCCAGGCATGCCCCCAGGGGAGCCTCCGGGCATGCCTCCAGGGGAGCCCCCCGGCATACCTCCAGGGAAGCCCCCAGGCATGCCTCCAGGGAATCCTCCGGGCATACCAGGGAAGCCCCCGGGCATGCCACCAGGGAAGCCTCCGGGCATACCAGGGAAGCCCCCGGGCATGCCACCAGGGAAGCCCCCAGGCATGCCACCAGGGAAGCCCCCAGGCATGCCACCAGCTCTCCTTGATGATGATTCTTCTTGCTTCTTGGCCTTTTCATAAGCAGCCTGAGATATAAATCAGAAGAGGGTTCAGAGAAGTTAAAAAGCCCAATATGTAAGCAAACAAGTAACTGAGGTTTCACCTGAGCTTCAGCCTTTCTTCGTAGTCTCTCACGCTCAATCTTTCTATCTTCTCGTTCTTTACGCAGCCTTTCATACTTCTTGTGGTGCTCTTCAATTTTACGTGCATTAGGCTCAACCTGCGACACAAATATATGCAATTAAATCACTTGACAATTATCATGATGCACACCACAACTAAGAATAAAAAGCTTCGGAACACTAGCATCCATATAATAAGACATTCTATAATTGAGATTATATCACTGGACGCAACCTTCTTAAGCACAGCACTTATTTCCTCATCGTAGTCTAGCTTGGAGGCCACATGAAGATCTTTGGCTGCTTCACCCCATTGTCCAAGCATGGCTCGTGCAATGCCACGTGATTTATATCCTTTAGCTGAATCTGGGTTGATCTGTAAGAGCAATTAAATGAGAAATAATGCATTAATTAAGATATCATGCACAAAGTTGACCAAACTCTATGCATGTAATGATCCATCTGTTCCCCGAGCATGAAAAGCATATGACAAGTATATACCTGCTGAGGCCTTCAGGATACTTCCGAATAAAGGCTTTATGAGTAGTAATAATCACTCAATGCGGATATTTGGAATAGACAAAAAATAAAAAAAATAAAGACCAGAATCAGATTCTTGGCAAGCAAATCAAGTGGTAAGATCAACCTCTAAGGCTGCAGTTGCATCTCGTATGGCTGCATTTGGTTTCTTCATTTTGATGTATACTGTGGCTGTTAACATCAAAACTTTCACATTGTCACTCAATGAATGCGAATGGATAATGTAATAACATGAAACCAGTAAAAATAATATCCAAGTCGAGAAGCATATGGAAAACTGTACCTCTGGTAGCATACATAATTGCTGAAGTAGGGTTGAGGAGAATTGCCTTTGTCAAAAGTTCACTTGCTTCTTCTAGCTTACCTATCAACAACAAGCAACAAACATGAGTAATGCAATGCCAACTGAATAATACACGCTCAAAGTATGAAGGTCTATAAATCAATCAGCATCACCTTCAGAAATTGCTTCCATGGCCTGAGATTTGGCCTCTTGAGAAGCATCACGGCTTTCCTCAGTAACCTCCACAGAGGGGTCTCCCATCTAGAAGATTAAACTTGAAAAGTTCATTTTACTGGTCAATTTAAACATGAGCCATAGCAAAAAATCAAAAGGGCAATGTCAGTTAGCCAAACCTGTTGTGGCTCATCATTGTCAGGGTCCACAACCTCACTCTCATCAAGTTCAACATCAGATTCAATTATCTCAGGCTCCTCTTCCTCTTCAGCAGTCCCTGTTTTATGAGTCTCATTCTCAAGATCACCCATTTCTTCATCACTCTCATCCACTGCATGAGACTTCTGCACAACAAATAATAGTGCACAACGTTTCAGACAATTGGAGTGCCTAGAAAAGCATTTGTTTTCTTTACACGCACCACAAATTATTTTAGACAATGGATCTAAAAGATCCTCCTTTTTAAGGTCTATAAAGGAAATCAAAATGGATGGATATAGACCCGAGTACAGAAAATCGAAACTCTATCAATTACGTCTCAATTCCAAACTAGTTGAAGCCAGTCATGTGAATCATCTGTATCCATTCTGCTTTGATATTTGTATAGTCATGACATTGTGATTATTTTTATACTGGTCGTGAACCTACTTTAACCTCTGGAATTTAAACAGGCTACGTGAAGCTCACGAGAAAATAAATAACTGCTTAGATAAAATAAAGAGTGTAGGTTATCTTTTCAAAATACGTATCTCCACATAGATGCTTTACAGTCAGTCATCTCGTATATCCCTATTTCATTACTTGAACTTGGAAGTTTTATCTTCCCTATTTAAACGAAAATAAGGACATTAAAATTCTTCTCTTTCCCTATTTAAACAAGGAAAAGATTTCATATATCATTTTAACTTCTCTTATTCATCTCCTGCAAATTGTGAAATCCAAACTGGTTTTGAGGATTTAAGTAACCAGACATAGCATGTATATTGTTTTATAACGAACAAATCCTTGATAACCAGTGGCGCACGGTTCAAAACTCGATGGATAATGGATCCACTCCTCTTCCCTTCTCCACTTAAATATCAGGCTTTCGCCACAGGGTTCGAACCCGTGACTTATGTCTAAACCACACATCACGTGGTGCTTTCTTACCACTAGACCAAAGCCCGAGGGTTTTGCATATTTACTCTCCTGGTGATTACCAGGCAAAGGCGGATATACTGTGGCAACATCGGGTTCATCTGAACTCAATACTTTCGATGTGGAGCACAAATTATGTGTAAAAATCTACTAAAATTGCACAATGCTAATAACCTTAAAAATTAAACTCATAGAGCTTAAATCCTAGATCCGCTTCTGTTACAACGGAACCATAAATATATCCAAAAGAACAAAATATATAATGCCATAACATTTACTGATTTAGGGTAAATACCGCTTTGTATTCTCCAGCCGCTGGAGGAATATTACCACCAAGACTGCCACAAAATCAAACAAATATAAATCAAGCTGAGAATCACTCAGAAAACACCACAATAACAGTAATCTTAGTAGTATTAATACATTCATATACTTAAATTTGCTTACGAAATGCCATTTGAAACCCTTATACCAAACAGTAGAGTTATTCCTATGATAATCTAAAGGTCACGAGTTCGAGCCATAAAAATTATCTATATATAATGGATGAAATAAAATACCTTTCAATGTAATCACGGAAAAAGGAAAGAGAAGGATCGGAGAGAAGTGAAGGATCGGACTTGCACTGTTCGACGAATTGCTTCAGTTGATTCAACTTTGTTGCGTCCATAGCTTTTTCGTTACCCTATTTTTTGCTCTTTGAATTTTGATACAAATTGAGAAGAATCGGATAGGAATTTGAGGAATTTGCTACTGACGGCAGCTTCAATTACTGCTACTGCTGTGGTTTACTAGCGGACCTGTGAAGGGTGTTCTAGAAACTTCTACTCATAGCTATTTTTAGAAACTTCTAAATTTAGATTTTTTATTCGAAAAACTTCACAATAGTTCATTATTTTGGACTTAGATTCAAAATAATCCTACTTCTTTCACATTGTGCACTGATAACCTACATTCTTTGATAAAGTGTGCACTTATGGTCCTAATACCTATTTTAGACCTTTGCTTTTTCATCGTGTAAACACAATCAAATTCCACAAAGTTTCTTTGTTTATCTTTTCTTTCTTACTAATCGATTTTTATCGACTTTTTTCCTTTTCAATTTTACCGTTTAAATTATTTTTTGAAGTGCAGGTGGATCCTTGACGCCACGGGCGGATTTAGGGGGATGGAACGATGTTCGAATCCCCTTCGCTGGAATGTTATACTATATTGTAAAATGGTTAAGGAAAATAATTATTCACTCATATTAGCCATTAAAAATTGGTTGGACAATGGACTTTTTTAAAAACAGATCAAATATGGATAAAAACCATATTATTCACTTAGAAAATAGATAACCAATGAATAACTAATGAGTTTAACTTTTACATTTGTAAAGCCTCAAATTGAGGGTTCTTCAAATTTGGGAAACGAGGAATTCTCTCAAAAGTGATCATATTCAAGAAGTCGTGGATAATATGGATATCCATATTATCTGTCGGTTAACCCATTTTTTATCTGTATTAAATATGGGTCGGGTCGGATAATTTGTCCATTTTTTGCATTACCCATTTTCGACCCGCTCATATCCGACCCAACTCGATCCACCCGTTTGCCATCCCTATATACATATAAAGCAATATCTGTTTTGTGCTTTTATATATTATATTTTGAATCCCCTAGCCACGTTGCAAAAGTATAACTCAGTGTTCAAGGGGTTCAAAATTTTGTGAGATTACTGATTCAATTCTCACTAACCATAGTCCCTTTCTTTTTTGAACCCTTTAGTGAAAATCTTGTGCTTGAGGCCATGAATAGTGTAAGAGGAAAGAATAAATTGAACGTTTAGTTGGATTCAACTAGAGGATCTTGAGATTCACCAAAAAAAAAAAAAAGTCATATCTTTTGGTGTTTGATTACTACAAAATACTTTCGAAATATCTTAAAAATATTACTCCATTTTTAATTAACATTACAATCAAGAGGTCATGAGTTCGAGTCACCCCAAAAGCAAGGTGGGAAGTTCTTGGAGGAAAGGATGCCGAGAGTCTATTTGGAAACAGCCTCTCTACCCCAGGGTAGGGGTAAGGTCTGCGTACATACTACCCTCCCCAGATCCCACTAATGGAACTATACTGGGTTGTTGTTGTTATTGTTGTTAATTAACATTACATAATACTTTTCCCTTTTCTATAAATTCAAATATTTGAAAATAAATTCAGCCTCTAACCAAATCCATACACCAAGAAGGTAACACTACACACACTATAAATAATGAGTGAAACAAGCAACAATACACAGCCTCTATCATGTAATCAGCCAAATTTTCTCAATAGTACATTAGGTAAGGGAATAAACCTCATATTTCCCTAAAATTTGAACACAACCATTGCTTCTAAGCAAGAATCAAAGAAGCACAAAGAACAAATAAACTTGAGATTCCAGTCCATCCAATCTTGTTTACTCCATTGTTGTCATTATTCCCACCTGGTGTTGCTGTAAAAATTTCAATCATGACAGTAAAATTGTTAGGCAAAACTTCCCCACACTTTAATAAGTAGACAAGTTTCTTTTGTTTTTTATTCGGTGTCCGTTATCTGCTTTAAGATTTCGACTAACTCAGCTTTGCACCGCGTAACGCTCATTAGGGAAAAGCGCTTCTTACCAGGATTTTTCTATTCCTAGAGCTCCAATCATAGCCTGTTTGGCCAATTTTTTTTAAGGCAAAAGCACCTTTTTTATTTTTATTTTTTTATCAAAAGTACTTTTTTATAAAATTAAGGTATTTGGCCAAGGTTTTGAAAGGAAAAAAGTGCTTTTGAGGAGAAGCAGAAGCAGTTTTGGAGAAGTAAAAAAAGTATTTTTTTCTCCAAAAGTACTTTTGAGAAAAATACACCTAGAAGCAATTTTTTAAAGTTTGGTCAAATACTAATTGCTGCTTAGAATTGTTTTTCAAATTAATTAGCCAAACACAAATTGCTTCTCACCAAAAGTACTTTTGAGAAAAACATTTATCAAAATAAGCTGATTTTTCCAGCTTGGCCAAACGGGCTACAAGACCTTTGATTAAGAGTGAAGGGATCATATCCAACGCACCAACACGTAGTGGAAGTCCAATATGTATAATAGCAAGATGGAGAAGACTATTACTTCCTCAGTTTCGTTTCATACGACGATGTGTTGAACTTGATGATAATGAAGTTTAAGAAAGAAAAACTAATTTTTGACATATGTCAAAAGCACCATTATAACACATGATATTTCAAATTATCAAGTGTAAAAGGAAAGTTTAAAGTTAATTTTTTTTTTGAAATATAAATTTATTAATAAACAAGAAAACTATAGAGTATAATGTAAAATCAAAGTTTTTCTTCTTTCCTTGTCCAAACATTTCATGTGACTATAATTAGAAGTCTAGAACATCATTATTAGAAACTTGGAAAAAGTAAAGGAATACAGCTAATCTTTCATTTTCAACATTGGGGTCCCAAAAATTATAGAACAAAGACTAAATCAAAGTCCATATTTGAAGCAATAACATGGAGAATTATCACAAAATAGGCCCTTAAAACAAAAATAAAATTAGATAAAACTTCTTTATCATAGTTAAGGAAGTTAATAAAACAAAATTACTAAAACTTATCATTGACTATAAAAATGGGGGCTTAGTTACATCATTAACCAATAAATATAAGTCTGTTATTTGATTCAAAGAATTAAGTGAGTTATTCCGATATAACTTTTAGGATAAAATTTATCCCTTTTTTTTCCTAAAGGTATTGACTAATATCAATATTTTCTCCGTTTCAATTTACATAGACGGTTTTTGATCTGATACGAAGTTTAAGATATTTTTTTTCAAATTTGTATTCTAAAATAAGCCATAAATATTGTGTGACTATAAATTATTTCATTAAGAGTAAAGTAGAAAGTTTAAAGTTAAATTTTTTTTTAAATAAGAAAGTATAGACATTCTTTTGGGACAGAATAAAAATGAAAGTATAACACACAATTGGAATAGAGCAAGTATTATTTTTATATCAGAAATTGATATTACTTATCCCATATACTATATAGGATTAACTATCCAGATTATAATTCTAGTTTTAAATTGCAGTATAAGCCTTGTTTGGGACAATAAATTAATGACTATTTGTTAAAATAAATATATAAAAAAATTAATTCTTAGTTACCTGGTGGTGGCAAGGTTTCAGAACCAGGACCTGGAGCAGCTTTACCTATATACACGAAAACAAATAAATCCAAATATGTTCAAATACCGAATTAAAAAAAAAAACAGCTCAATGCACGAAGCATCTCGCGTAATAGACTGCACCCCAAAGCAGGGGCGGAGGGAAAGTAAAATCTACGGGTTCGGCTGAACCTAGATCGTGTCTTTTTCTTAAGAAATTTATTGAAAATGTACAAATTATTAATTTAGAATACACTAACTTAAAAGATTTGGAATTCAGAACTCATAAGTTTTAAATCCTGGGTCCGCCTCTGCCCCAAGAAGATGTGATATAAACCGTCTACCCTAATACAAACATTAATGACTGATTTCACGACTCGAATACCGAAAAAAAACATGAAGAAGAAAAGAGCATACCATTGCAAGAACTGAGATCACCAGGAATATTACATGCTTTAGGAAGTGCAAGTGCTTGAGTAATATTAATACCAAATGAAGGCAACAACGTAGGATTCTCGTACAATTTACATAGACAATCAAGTTCATTAGTTATGGCTTCTTTCAATGGATCACAACATTCTGCCGGCGGTTTGGTGGAATTAAGGTAAGGTGCACAGGGAACTAATTTCATAGCACACGACGGCGTTTGAGCTTCCGCCGTCGTCGCCGCCATAATCGCCACCGTGACTACCACCATGATCAGAGCAGACATTTTAGAAGAAAACATCGTGTGTGTTTTTTCTGTTTTGTTTTGGTTTCGTATTGGTTCTACGTTGTGTTTCTACTTTCTATGTAGGAAATGTTAATTGCTAAATTTATAGCAGTGGTTTGGTTGGGTTTTCTTCTTAATTTTTTTTTTACCTTGTTTTTGGAATATGTGCTTTTAATCCATGAAAAATTGATAAAATTTGATTTTAACCCTCAATTAGTTGAAATGTGTACTTTTGATCCTTCTTCTTATGAATTTTCACAAAATTTTAACAAATTACTTCATCTACTTTAATTTATGTGAATATATTTGACTTGATATAAAATTTAATAAAAAAGAAAGACTGTAAGCATTAAAATTTTATCAAATTTAAATCGATAAAATAATATGGACTATATTTTAATATGCTAGTTCAAATAAATATTATTGGGCTAATATAATTGAATTAGTTATATAAGTCCAATATATATGGATTAAATAAATAAGTCTTAATCCATTGGGCTAACCCATTTAATTGGGCTAGCCCATTTAATTGGGCTAAAGTAGTGAGCCCACTTCATTAAGCCCAAGATGTCATCTTCCTAGAGGCCCAGTTTGGTGCCACGTGTCAAATGACGTGGCGCACCAAGTCAAGCGGAAGAGCCAGTAGGACCATGTCGCGTGTCAAAATGACAAGGCATGTCCAATCACGCTAAAAGGCCAATGAAATCGCGCCACGTGTGCAAGTGACATGTTCTGGCCAATCAAATGTGGTCATGTCATACTTCAATTTGATTGGTCAGAAAGAGTTTGTTCTTATCACAACTCTTCTCTTCCACAACTATAAATAGGGGTTTTCATACCTCAGAAAAGACACCATAAGTTATAACAAGAAGCAAGAAAGAGCTCGTGGATCAAACGCTGCAAATTCCTCCACAAGTTTCAGGCTTCAA